CGGAAATTTTGAACAGAACCCCAAAGAGGCACAAAGATTTTGATTTGGCATGCATGTCCTGAATAACCATGTCGTTTCTAGTATCTCTCTTAATAACAGACCTGTCATATGTGTCAACTTGTTTTTCTCCCCCATTGATACGTAACATTCTGGTATGTATGAGACCAGCGTATTCTTCCATAGGCGGAGGTACCTAGGCAAATAAACATCATTAAGTTTGATCTTTTAGAGACATAACAAATTTCTTTAGGGCCGTGCTATTGTGTAGGGCACAGTGGAGATCGTGGACAAACTCCAATCCAAACGCATAAACTATCGCCAACACTAAAATTTCGCAGTAAAAGCAATCTTAATGGTAGTCAGTAGGTAGCATTTTACACTGTAGAATGCAGAGTCCAGACAACAAGAGGGTTGTCCAATATACACAATCTGTAAATTTGTGATATGTTCAGTTTATCATACCGTAAAAGACCGTTTTCAAAAATTGCATCTCATTAAGGGACTTGTTATTTGAACGAGGGGGTCAGTAAAATAAGGTTATTGTACCATCTCCAGTGTTACACTGGTTTGAGCTTTCGAAAAGGCATCCGTAGGACAGCATAACAATATTTGATCTACCAACCTTGAAGATCAATCATTTTTGTAAAGGCTGGGGCTATGGCAGGATCTTCACATTGCGCCACTCTCTTCATCTTGTCTTCGACACTTTTCAACTCCACTGTTAGTCGATGCTCATTATCCTCCCACTTTTCGTAGATGTGGCTCTTCCAAATGCAGGGCTCGAAATTGCGACTCGCTGGTCGCCAATGCGACCAAAAATTGAGCACTGGCGACTAAATTTTCAAAACCGGTCGCCAGCTGGCGACTCGCGTTTTGTCCGATAACTAAGGAAAACCAAGACACAACTTTTGGTTTTAAATCTTTACATTAGGAAATCAATCGGATATGGTAGCTGGTATACAACTCACCTTCCGTCCCCAGTAAAATAATGTCTGAGTATTACAAGATAATCGGAAAAATTGAATGTATTTTAACACGTCGATACTACGTTCACGGCGCATCATATTGTTTCAGCGGCTTCTTCCGAAACTGGGATCGCAGGCGCACTTCAACACTATGTGCTTTTCATTTGCCGCGAAAATGGCGGTAGATACCAATCAGTTGAGGGAATTACGCGAGTTTTTACGTGCGGGGAGTGAAGATTCAGCCAAAAGGTTAATCCAAACTTTGAATCCTTCATCGCCATTTCGAAGATGTAGCAAAGGGAAAATACGCAAGGACCCGTGTTTGTCTCACACTGAAAACCACGGACTTAAAACGTTTTATGCTTCGCTTCACTTAAAATGACTATCGAGACAACCATCACCTTCGGACCAGAGACATATCACATGAAGAACAACGGTAACTTTAAAACTAACTGTTACTCGTGTTGTTTCTAATTGCGATTGTTTTCGCTCTTCAATTGTGATATATATATATATATATATATATATATATATATATATAATAAGTTGGCGACCAAAATTTTTCCGTTAGTCGCCGGCTGGCTCCCGAACGAAAAAGTTAATTTCGAGCCCCGAAATGGCATAGCCAGTTGCTTTTAGCGCTCGGATATTTGCGATAAAATTCACGAGGTCGACCAAGGTGCCTGTTCCTTGTTCTCCTTTCTTCCATGCATAACCCTCAAACAAATCATGGCTGT